GCCTCTCCACAGCCACAGTCCCTTTTTTTATGAGGAGCATGAAAAAATGGGCAAATGTTTAAAAATTAAAACAGAGACATCAAAGATGGTTCCACTCCGGCAGAAGCACAGCTTGGGAGACTTGGGTGAAGAAGCAGAGGAAGCGCCGTGGCCATCTCGCCGCGTGGCCACCTGCGCCCAGCCATGTGGTTTGAGAGAGAAGCTTGCAGGAGGCGACAAGGCAGCCAAGGGCGCAGCCAAGCAAGAAAGCTGCCTCGGTGGTTCTCAGAGGCAGGGCGGGTCTAGCGAGCCAAGCCCGAGAGGAGGGCTCCAGAGTGGATGGAGAGCCGGGCAGGAAGGGGGTGAGCAGGATGGGGGGACTTCCCTGGGGTCACTGAATTACTTCAGAAGCAGCAACAAGGACTAGATGCTTTTCAATAAGAACTAGATGCTTTACATCTGATTTTATGACAGGGGGTCCATACTCATATTGGGTGAAATAAAGGGGACCTATGTAATGTCAAATGACACCGTCTATGAATGTATATAAATGACTCAAGCTCTGTCCCCACTACGTGCAAGAGCGCGAGCGTAGAATCCACAGGGCAAATGAGCATTGTCTGCCCTCGAATTAGCTATACTGAGCCCCCACCTGACTCCCCAGAGCTCGTGGCACCTCTTTGCTCTGGCACAGCTTTGTTGTTTTGTGCGGAGGATACTCTGCTTGGGGCGGGGGCTGGGGTTCATTGTCTCATCCTTTATGTCACACACAGCAGCACAGCAGGGGCCGGGGGGCTTTGGCACCGGTGGGGCAGCATGAAAGCCACGGTCACCTCCAGGACCAGCTCCGGGTCAAGGAGAAGAGCGAGGAGGGAAACATTTGGGTAAGGTCCGGGGACACCACCCAGGGCTCTGCTCCATGAGCACCCTCCCAGGACCTCTCCGACTTAGATGCGAGAGGGCGTGGGGGCTTGGAGGTCTGGCTTTTGGAGCATCTACGCCAAGACACATGCACTCTCACCAGGCTGCAAGGGATGTGAGTAACGCAGGACACAGCTCATCCTGCAATACCAGAGACGTGCAGGGCCCGCGTGCTCCCATAGGGACTCTCCCTGCCTCGCTGCCTCTCTTTACACACACATGCGTGCAGGCTAACTCGTGCCTGTACACCCACATACATGCACATGTGATTCTGTGTGTATATCAATGTATGTATGCATATACAATATATAAATGTGGATGTATCTGTGTATGAAATAAGCATATGTTATATGTATGCTTAAATGCAAATATATAGAAAAAGAGAGGCAGAGAGAAAAACACGCCCCCCCCCAATATGTAGTACAATTCCATTCCATTCCATTGTATTACGTTCAACCAACATTTGGCGTCTCCGCCACATGTCGGCCCTGCCCCAGGCACCGGAACACAAAATTCCCTGAGTGCCACCAAGTCAGGAGCTTTCCATCCAGACGGGGGCAAACACCCACATCGTTCCACCTAGTAGCCACCTACAACGGGGGGCAGCACGATCTGGTGGTTCCAGACAAGGGCAGTTACGACGCACACTCGAGTGTGCAGGTGGGACCCAAACCTGGCTCCACCCCCTTCAAGTTGCGTGACCTGCCACACAGGATCCCGTGGATCCTGTTGGTAAAGTAAATCTCCACCACAGCAGCTTCCTCACGGCATGGGGAGGACGGCACGCTACGTTTGTAAGCCCACGGGCAAGTGGCTGGCACACAGGGCATACCCCGTAAAAGGGAACTTTATTATTACCGTCATTGTTCTCTATGAGAAGAGTGTGCGGTTCATAAAAGAAGAGAGAACGGTCCATCTAGCTGGAGGGTGACAGGAGAAGCATCCTGGGAGAGGTGGGGTAAGGAGTAGGTGTTGGTGAGAACAGCAGGGAGAAAAGGCATTCCAAGGACACAAATGAGCTTGTCCAAAGGCCCTCCCTGTGGCATAGAACATTCTGGCATGTTCAGAGAACGGCCAGCAGATGGGACAACCAGATGAAGGCTCCAAGGCCAAAGAGAAGCCAGAGCCAGATCTCAACGGGCCACCAAAAAACCTTAAACAATGGAAGAGCAAAATGAGATCTGCTTTCAGAAAGGTTTGGGAAAGATCCAGTGGAATATGACCCCACCTTCCCAGGGTCACCACTGTGATCAGCAGTTACCATGGACACCCCTGGAGTAGTGAGGCCACAAAACCCAGGCTGGGTGGAGCTCACAAGTTGTTCTCTCTGCTCACAAGTCTTCCAGCTGTTTGTTTTAGTAGCTACTAAAACAACTAAATGAAATGGTGTCCAAGGGGAAAAGCTGTCCGAGTCAACAAAGGAGGTCACTGACAGAGGAAAAAGAACAGCAGCTGCAGCTTGAAAGGGGTGGGAGAGGAAGAGAGGACCGAGATGCAAAGTGAGACGAAGGAGGTGGCTGGAAAGGAAAGCTGCAGACAGGCAGCCGCTCTCGCCAGCCCCCAGCTCAGTTCTGCTTATTCTCGTCTGTTCAAAGATGTGCTGGGCAGCCTCGGTGCCAGCTCTGGTCCACACACTCTGCCTCCTGCCTCCCTGCAACACTCCCTGGATAAAACTGACAGACAGAACAGCTGATCTTTCCAGCCCCGGTTCTCCCTCTGCCATCTTAGAGAGAACACAGACAGCAAGCGGGAGAGACGTCCCGGGGTGAGAAAAGGGAGTTGAAACCCCCAAGTCCCAGACACCCAGCACTTCAGTTTCTCTCCCCCTTCCAGAACTGCCACCTTGGGGCGTGGCCTTAGATTTTCATAAAGCAAAGATGGCTTTTTCCTCACCGTTCACTTTTTTCCTTTAACACAGTGGTGCTTCCAAAGGCCCAGGTGCTAACCCCGCCATTCCTCAGCTTTCAGGCCTGCTGCCACGCCCGGTAGGTGGGTATGTGGCGGTGCCTATGTGTGTGCAAGGCGGGGCGGGGTCCCTTCAAACACCAGGAAAGGCCCACCAGGGCCCCCCCCAGTGTGTCAAGTCCAAATTCTGGTCCAGATGTCCTACCACTGCTGTGGGGCTGCCTCTTGGTGATGCAGCGGCCGCAGCCTGGGGCTGCTGCACACCAGTGGGGGTGAGGAGGGAGGAGGGAAGGGAGAGAAAGAGACAGAAAGGAAGGAGGGGAGAGGGGGAGGGGGAGGAAGGAGGGAGGGCAAAAATGAAAAGAGGAAACTGAAGCAGGCACGTGGAGAGCTGTCACAGGACCCTCCCCACTTAGCAGGTATTTTCTGGTTAACTGAGACACTCACAGGACACTGCAGAAACAAAATAAGCGTGAACAATGACGGGATCTCGAAATCACTTCTGTTTTTCCGCACAGGTTTTCCTCTGGAGAAGTCCAAACAACGAACGATTTACCGAGCATCTACTGCGTGACAGGTACTCTGCATCTGATTAAACATCATAGGATTTCCTTTCATTCTTTTCTCTTTCAAGTATTTAAAGCACTGACTGGGATGCTTCGGCTGTTTTCTCTTCCAGCCACCCCAACTTTATTCTTACCAATGTTTTCAGAAGCTCCCGCTATAATGCCCTGCAGGGTTTTCTGGCGCTTTTGGTTTTGTTTTGTTGTCTTTGTTTTCTTTGTTTTTCCACCTAAAACTTTCCTTTTCTTTTTCCTACTCTCTGATTTTTAGTGGGGGCTGGGGGGAGGGGGTGGGGGAATCTAGCATCTGGAGGCTGAGACCACTTGAAATGTCTGGGCCAGGGATTGCTAATGACCTCCCAGAGATAACCCAAATTGCTGATTTAGCAAAGCCCATTCTTGACCTTGACACGAGACAAGACCTGCAAAGGGGAAGGCCTGGTGAGGGAGCAGGGAAAGAAAGAGGATCATAGAGGCGCTGAGATTCCTCCCGGCCCCTCCCCCATTCAGCCAACACCTGGCTGAGTTGGAAAACACGCCGGGCCCACCCTTCCCAGTGGCACCAATTGAAGCTGTCAGCTCTCGGCTTGTCACCAGTTGCACTGGGAGGCCCCGGGCAGCCACAAGAGCCCTAATTAGGCAGAAATGACACTTCTACAACTGACCTGCCAGGACCTTTGGCAAACCATTTAACATCATTAGTTAACATTTTTTAAAAGTGTGAATGTAAATGAACAGCCAGTGGCTTTCAATGGAGTTTGTCGGTGGCATCTCCCCCTCCTCTCTCTCTCTCTCTCTTTGTACATGAATAGTGCACTTGTTTTCCCCAGGACTGGAGGGAGGCGCTCGGGAGGAAGGAAGAGCAGGACCGGTCCGCAGAGAGGAGAGACATGTGACAGCATAAAGGCACTCGGGGAGTGGGGCCATGGCTTCCTGGCTGCCTTAGGTCCGAACAGACACCATGGCCCAGGGCCGGGGAGGCTAGGCCCATGTGGGTCCCGCTCCTTGAGCCACCCGTGAGCGTGACAGTGACCGCTCCAGGCTTGGGTCGCGGGCAAGGATTTCCTTTCTTGACCCCCGGGTGCCTCTGGCACTGGGACGCACCCCGGAGACACAGCAGGTCCCCTCCCCGGCCACCACGATAGACTGACCACCCCTGACTGAGGGTCACGAAGGTTCTGGTTTCCCAGTGTGGACAAAAGTGATGTCCAGACTGCACCGAAATCTCTAGGCGTGTAAGAGCGTCGTATCGAAAATAACAATGTACGTTCCTTAATGTAAAATTATTTCATTGCTAAGAATTGTGAACCGTCCTCCGAACCTGGAGCGAGTCTTAAGTTCTCTTTGCTGGTGGGGAGTTCTGTGCAAAGCACCTCATCCATGAGATGCAACACAGGAAGTCGCAGTCACACGCGGTGTGCCCGGACGCCCTCGCGCACCTCTTAGCACCGGGCGTTCTCCACAAGCAGGTGCTTCGCCACAGTCCAGCAAACCTCTCACGCGTGTGTAAGTCTCCACGTCCCGGGAGTCTCAAGAGTCCCGAGGCCCTCCCCAGAGGACCCGAGTTGGGGGGGTGGGGGCGACTGTTTCAGACGCAGGTGTGATACTTACACAAACATGTTCGTTTCCTACCTGAAGCGGCTATTTCCCACCTGGAATCACACTTCATTTTGCTCTTGGCTGTGCACCCACAGAATCCGTACACGCCGACGCTCTCCATCTGTGGGAGGGGAGGAAAGAGTTTCACTGTGAAAAGGTCACTTGGCCTGTCTGTCCCCACGTGGCTCTCGATGCGTCGGGGCTGGTGGGGCGCTTGAAGTGCAGCAGGTGCGGGGCAGAGGAGGCCGCGGTCACAGGGCGCAGCACAGGGGCCTGGTTCCTGGTGGCCTTGGCACTTACCACCTACTGGATGTGTGGCCGTGGGCGGGATGCTTAGCCCTGAGTCTCAGTGTTTCATCTGGAAGACAGAGATAACGCCTTACTACTTCACGTGACAAACAGAAGGATGGCAGCATCGCAAAAGCTGGAGAGCGTGGAGCCAATGTGACACGTGATGGCCCCAGCCTCACAGAGCTGCCGGAACAGCCTCTGCCAGCTTCTCGGCCACCCTTTCCCTTCCAGAGATGAAATTCCCAAGCTGTCCTCTGGCGTCCCAAGGCACGCTGGACAAGCCAGGGCTCCGCCAGCACAGCCCCATCCCCAGGCCCCGACCTCCTGCTCCTGCTCCTTCGCAAAGGGCTGTGTGTACCACAAGGAAAAGTGCAGGGCGCACACCAGTCCCTAAAACCCTGGCCTCCCTGCTGCTTTCTAAACAGCGGAGAGAAGGCACGCGCACCCGGTCCATTTCCAGATTTCCGGAAGCCCAGAGAACCATGGTGGTGACACAGTAGATGCACAATAAACGTCCGCTGAGTGGCAAGGCAGTGAGGCCTCTGGGCCAGGGGGCAGGGCAGCGCATGGGGGGGGGGGTTGGGGGGGCATGGGCTGATGCAGGCAGCACGGACCCCAGATTTGGAGAGCTCTGCGTGCCCCTGAATTAAAGATGAGCACATGCGGGGGAGGGGAGGTACAGGGGCAGCGTGTGACGTGTGCGCCCCGAGGAGTCATGAGAGAGGCAAAAGAAAGCAATCTTAGTTTGGGGCAGAAAGAGTGAAAATACTGGAAAACGGCCTTTAATAACAGTAAATGGGACGGGGAGAGAAAAGCTCGTCGTGATGGTGCATTTAGTGCTTTTAAGCTAAATACCGCAGCATATTAAGCAAATAGAGAAAAGCCAGCTAGAAGATGTCAGCAAATTGAACGGAGCACAGCTCAGAAAGCCGATAGGAGGTGTCTGGCTTTGACCCCTGTCCCCATCACATGGCCAGTCCGCGCCTGTTGTTTAGTATTGCTTCTCCTCTCCAGCTGCGGGGCTTATTGAAAAGCCCTTGCTCCCTGCCTGGTTTTGGCACATTTTCTGCAGGTGCCTCCTACTGTGGCCACAATGGGCTGCTCGGGAGGTTCAGACCTGTCAACAGCTCCGGGGAGGGGGTGGCGGCTGCGGAGGGAGCACAGCCATTGTCTTAAAGGGCCAGTGACATTGTGTGCCCTGGAGCCTCCAGCCCGGCACCTGCTAATCAGATGAATCCTTTCTGCCGCTCCCCCTTGCTCCCTTCAATGATTTCACTTGATCGCTTGGGTTCCTTTCTGGAAGGGGAATTGCTCCATTGATCATATAAAGTAATTGCCTGTAAAACATTGCTCCCCAACAACTACTACCTTCCTGGCTGAAAATGTCACCGCAATTGAAAAGCTCTCAGCCCAGTTCAAGAATGAGGCCGCTGGCGCCATCAGGCTTTGCCTCTGTCCCCAAGCCCTCCTGGGTTCTGAGAATTACAAGTTTGTTTGGTGCGACGAATGCATGTGAAGACGGAGAATTTCGCTTCCCGGAGGAGAGGGCCGATTTCGTGACAGATTGTGGAAAGCCAAGCCAAGCCAAACCAACAAACAAAAATGCCTCAGCACTAAAATTAGATATTTCCCTTCAGAGAAGGAACTTATCTTCTTAATCGCCCACACCACTCTCGACTCACAGACTGTGGAGGGACGCCCCTGTGGAGGCAAGTGTGGTCTGGGAGAGATTCTTTATTCCCATCACACCAGAGGATGGGACATCTTTGTCTCAGAGCGGGAAGCGGCCTTGGTTTGGGAAAGGAATCGATGCTCTTGTTGTCTGAGATTCCCCCGATGTCCCCAACCTGTCACTTGGCGGCAGCAGTGACTCACTAGGAGAAGGGGGACCTCACACTTAAGGAGTTTCATAATGCTTTATTAGTCATTTGTCACGCCAACGCGAGGGTGTCATTCACCTGGGGGGAAACCACTGACGTGTGCTCGAAACTGTCAGTGGAAATAAACAGCTGTTGGTGACGGTTTCAAACCTAGACAGGTGGAAGTCTAGGTTTGCACCTAAGGGGGGAGGGAAGGGGAAAGACTTTTTTCCATTTCATTGGAGGGAAGCACCACCAGCTGGGTGAGAGGCTGCCCGTGACTAATTCACAAACAAAGCTGCAGGTGAATCACTTTCCGCTGGATGAGCCAGAAATCTTTTTTATGGATGATGAAGGGCAACAGGCATGCTTACTGTTGTACTTTAAAAAAAAAAAGGGCCGAAGCATCTACTCACTTACTTGACAAACGAGTATAGAGAACTGACGCGCAGAAAGTCTATTTAAAAAGATTAAGCTGAGAAAGTCATAGACCTTTTGACGTCAAAATTACCTGCTTGGTGCTGGTACAAGTGACAAAAGGGTTAACAGGTGCACCACCTTCTCCTGGGCTTTAGGGATTTGGTATTTTAGTTGTTAAAATCTTTTTAGAGCGTCAGAATTTACCTGACATTTACTTAGGGGGACTACACCTATCACAGCAAGGAAGATGTCTGTAATAAGATGTGTTTTTCCCTTATCTACCCATATAGTGAAGAGAATAAAAGAAATTCTTTAAGATTAAACCCACCAAATAAAGTGGTTCCTGGCTAGGAAGAATTAGGTTGAGTCTTTCACCAGCAACTGGAGTGCTGTTCTATTTTCTTAGATGGGGAGGTCTTCTGTGTTTTTTGAGGGGGGGTTCTAGAAAATGTGGGTGTGGAACTGAATGACCCCTGAAGCTGCCTGCCCCGCTGACTTCCTTGTCTGTAAAAGCCTTACAATAGCAAATGGACAGATGAGCAGTAAGGACCATTACTTTCAGCAGCTCTGCCTACAAGATGGGCAGTCAAGACAGAGGAAAAGTGGGTTGAGTGACGCCTAGAGTCAAGAGGCGCCTGGATGTCCACAGCTACTGCCCCGCGGCCCCTGGCAAAGAGCCCCCACCACCTTCCCCTGCACAGAGCAGGTGGCACTGATGGTGAGGGTGAGGACGTGGGGGGGGGTGGGGGGCTGACCTGCCTCTGGATTTCAGCAGAGTCCTCTGCATGAACTCCCTCAGTGGGAGTGTGTAGGGAACAGTGTTTTAAGGTCATTTCAACTTATTTCTGGAGGGGGAGAAGGAAGAACATCTGAAGAGAAGAAAATCAGGCCACCATGCTCATCATCACAGGACAGATGTCAGATCTGACAGCAGCCACCAGACTGGTTTCACCCTGCACCCTCCACTGGCCTATCGAGACACCATGCACGAGCCTGCCCTGAAGTTCAGCAACAACAAAGAGGGGCTTCGCATCTTGTGTCCATGGGGATCCTCACGCACACTTTCCAACCACCTGATTTCACAAGGTAGAAACTGAACTTGGGCTACATTTGTTTGACCTTCATACTAAGTAGCGGGGTTATAAAGGTACCTCGTGTGCATTTACGGATAAAAGAATGCATTTTTAAATGCTGCCTTGTTCCCACGTCCACACACCTAACTGATGCAGTGGACACGGTGATAAGAGACAGACCCCAGGGTAACAGGTGATCATTCTGAAGGGTAAGAGCTGACATTCTTCATAATTCAGATTTGCAAACTGACTTACATGGTGACAGCCACAAACACTTCAACTCTAGAGCTTATGGTTTACATTTATTACCCACATGCATCTCACCCGGAAAGGTTCACACACATAAAGGTTACCATCTTTATACTTAAAAAGTCAACATCAAGCTGATGGTAACAGTAACTGTACCTGTTGAAATGCCTGTATTCCATATATAAGTGTGCTAATTCCCAGCTGGAAAATGATGTCACTTTGAACTTTGCTTTAAAGCTCCTGAATTACCCCAGACCTGCTGGCCAAGGGGAGAAGCGTTTGCTGTTCTCTCTCCTGCAGAATGCGCAGGCCTTTTCCAAAGGCGCACTTCCATGCAGCGTTTGTGACTGAGTCACATGCTCCTCAAGCTCCCAGGAACCTACTTCACTCCCCGCCCCCATGAAGAGCTCACTTCTGCTTTTTATTTGTTTACAACAATTTTCTTAGAATTACAGGCCACAAGGTTCCCCTTCTTCCAAAAGTGGGAAAGCACTATGTCGCCAAAGGAGTGTTCCCATGCAGTTTTCCCAGTTGACAAAGGGTCGCAGCCCCTGGCCCCTGTGCTATCCTTCCAGAGTAGCAGCGGGTTTTAAAATGCCCTAGCGAGACAGATGCCTGTCAAGTCCTCACACAGGTGTGTCAAAGATGGAGGAGACAGGATGTGGGGGGTTAGCCTTGGCATCTCACTGTGGACGGCCAGGTGGGCCCACCACAGAGTGACCAGCCGGGCTGGTCCTGACGTGGATGCTCAACCTTAACCCCGGTGGGGATGGGCACGGGCATATGTACGTGCATGTGCATGTGCGTGCATGTGTGTACGTGTGTGCATGTGTGTGTGCGTGTGTGAGAGAGAGAAAGAGAGAGAGGGAAAAAAACAGCCTCTGACCCACCAGCCAGGGCTGAGCTTCGTGCCAAGCAGGACAGGGTTCTTTTTCTCGGCATCAGGGCTTGAAAAGGAGTGTGAGCACAAGGCGAGCCCTCAGGGAGTCAGGGTCAAGAGGACATGCACACAGGAAGGGAAAAGCAGTGATTTTCAGTTAAATAAACCACACATCTAGGGCGATTCCTTTCGTTTTCATGTAACAAGTAGTAGTTGAAGATAAAATCTAAGTCATATAAATTAAAAGAGGTCTTATCATTTTGAGTTTTTCACTTTGTTTTTCCTGCTTTTGCAGATGTATAATTATCTCAAAAAATGAAAAATAAAAAGACAACTAATTTTCCAACTGTGGGTTTATAAGAAGTAGACAGAAGAAATTACTAATTAAACATAAACATAATATTGCTCTTGCAAAGGTCATAGTTCAGAACTCAAAGTGGCTGCATTTTCAATAAAGTAATAAATGATGGTGTATGGGAAAATAATCCTTCTAAAGCTTATAAAGTGATAAACACACTATTGCAAACATCATGCTTTACAATAAAAGTGGTGCTTTGGTGCTTCCTCTACAAACACAGTCTTTTGA